CTCTGATGCTGCTTGGCCTGCTGTGTTCATCCAGCTCTACACCTTGTTATCTCAGATTCTCCAGCATCTGCAGTTCCTACTATCTTTCACCTCAAAGTGGATACCAGAAACACAATGGATAACATAGATTTGAGGGGAGATAACGGAGCACACAGTCTGTATAACTGCTAGCCCTGATCTGGGAGAGAGGGAGAGCCTGTTCAATAACCAGCTCCTGCAGAAACAGCTTCCCCACAGGCTCCAGCCCCAACAAACAGCTTCAGAACCAAGAACCACAGAGGCCGAACAAGGAAGCTGATTCGGGAAGACAAACCAAGAGCATCATCGCAATAAGGGACATCCAAGAGCAGGGAAGCCAACCAAGCACTATTCAAATAACAGCTTCCAGACACAGGCCTGCTCCAAACCAAGAGAATCGACAGCAAGGACCTCAGCAAACGGACACACTTTAAAACTGTATTTTCATCAACGCTGAACTGAAACTCCCAAGATTCCTAAGTTTACAACTTAGCTAGCAGGGAGATGAAGGCGGATGGTGACAGCGCAGGGACCCCAAGGGTAGAAAGCCTGATTAAAGTTTCTGTAATCAAGACTGCTGTTTAGCTTCTAATGGTGTTTAACCTGTGTTTAAATTAAAGTGTATTTAATTGCTGTCCTCTGTACAGCTGATTGTATCGGTTTCACTGTTTTACAACATTTGCCTTTATTTCTTGTATTATACTTACCTTTTGTATTTAACGCAGAGATTCTTTTGCCCTGAAACACCTGTCTACTGCCTTCTTTATTTCACATTCCTAAATAAATCGAATGTCAGAACCAGGGATCTGGGGGTGATCACAAACCAGGCCACTACACTGCAGACAGCCGAGACTGCTTTGACATGGGTGCCAACCTTGGATCGGTCTGCTGTCCTGGCCTCCAGTCCTGTGGCAAGAGAAAGTCCCACTTTTCACAAACCACCATGCCCCAAAACCCCCACCCCACCACACACGCCCACCACCCCCCAAACCCCCCAACCCCCTACCTCAGCAGAACCTCCAGGTCCTTTCTGCCCACTCAGCAGGCACCACTCATCCACCACATCTAGGGAAAATGTCAGGTACCACACATGGCAATGCTGGACTGACACTGCTTAACCAGGTACACAACAGACTTTTAGAGATGGTGCAATGGATGCCTGTGGATTCAGGATGTCTGCTGAGCTGCATGTAGTTTTAGGAATATGGGCAGGAATCAGAGGGAAGCCATGGGGCAGGGTAGGTAGTCAACAAGGCAAGTTTGGCAAGGTACAGCAAGAAAAATCATTAGGCCTTTTGGCGGAAATTCCTTCAAAAAACTCCACAACTCAAACTGAGCAAAAAAATGTAAGATGCAGCGCTGAGTATTGAGGTTTCGCTGTTTCCAATAGCAATATCAGTGCAATCCAGACAGCATTGTTCAAAGCAGCAGACTGCACTCCAGATCAATCAGCATTGCTAGTTTCTTCCATCTGCGCTGGTTCAGGAAGGATCTTTCCATTACATTTGTTTTCTTAAGCCCAAGAGGCATGTAGCAGGCATGTTTCAACAATTTCACATCAAATATTTTACTTAATAAGAAACTAAACTATAGGACAACTGTGAAACTGCTCAACAATTCTGCACATTTGTTCAAAGTAATTTTCAGTAATTTTTAATTCAGGCTGCTCACAGTTGGATGCTAATCCTCATTAAACGCCTTCTTTCTGGTGTTAAACCTATTTTCAACTGTATTCATAAAACTGCGGGTTACATCCTTAAATACATCAGAGAATAATTGTTAAAAGAAAGAAGCTTTGTTACACTTCGCAAATGAGCTGATTTGTTAAGATTTTACATTTGTGACTGTAAAATAATTTTAGTATGAATTCGAAGCATAGTCTCTCTAGATTAATTCTGAGTGTTATTTTGCCACGATTTCTCAATTTCACTTAAATGTGAAATTCAACCCCACGTTTTTCCTTCTTCTCCCTCATGATAAAGATCAGTCTTCTCTGTTTTCTTGGCTCAACAATCATTTTGTTACATAGATGTGAAATATTATGGTTTTTTTTTCTTTATAAAAACACTGTTAAATTGCCCTCAGGCATCAAACACCACACTTTTGTCTTAGTTACAGAAGCTGCACATGGCATTAATGGTGGAGACTGACCACAGCACTATACAATGCAGTCATTAGAAGCATTAATTTTACTAATATTTTTGGATCTCTTTTGATTTCTTTGTTATTTTTATACGTATTCATAAAGTCCATGTGGAGAAATTTCTAGATCTTTTTAATGCAATTCTTTTCTCAAATAATTAGCCTATTTTATGTTCTGACAACAGATTGATTTTCCATGAAAATGAATTAGGCTCAACCACCACATCGCAGAATCATAAGCATTAACAGGTATTCACACAATAAGTAGAGACTGAATGGTTTCCATTTGAGGAAGGGTCACCGGACCTGAAACGTCACCTCTGACTTTTTCTCCACAGATGCTGCCAGACCTGCTGAGCTTTTCCAGCAACTTCTATTTTTGT